ATACCTCTTTTCTTAAAGATGTGGATTTACATTCACATATTGTGCTCATCATAGAGTGAAAACCTCAACAGCATACTGATTGTAGTATATCTTTAGTTTTTCCCCTTGTGAGTAGTCATAAAAGCATGTAAAACTTTGCAGGATTAGCACCAGCAAAAATGTTTATGACAAAAATAGAACCATGCGTAGCATCTAAGAAATGAATTTGTGAATAGACCTTCTCCTGGAGTTAAATTTCATCTCTCCTCTTTAGCTAGCAAGATACACCAGATGACCCAGGAGCATTCATGAAAGTTTTCACTAGAATTTTATTTCCTTAACATTATGGATAAATTGATTAATGAAATGTCTTAATTGTCTAATCTGGTACATGCCTTTTACACTTCTCGAAACAAAATGTTGGATGAACTCTAGGGTTTCTGAAAGAATTAATGTTTGCTGGACTCCAACTGCAGTGTTTGCCAAGTGGAAGTAAACCAGCATTAATGTGTTCTGAGATCCAAGCGGAATCTAAGCAATTTTTAATCCACTGCAGTGACTTCTACAATGTTTTTCTTTTATTTCCACTTATTTATGAGCATTCCATATGATGCTTGTTTGTGGTTGGGTATTGTTTAGATTTTAAGGTGTTTTAGTTAACTAATGTTTGCTTAAGCAAATGATAGTTTACATCTCTCTCTGTACATGTCATTTGCTGTATTTATTGATGTTTCAGGCACTTAAATAATTCGTAAATTTCTTTCATCAGAAAAAAAAGGTGTCGTTCTACAAACGGGCACAAATACTTGTGGCTGATACATGGAGTGTATTAGAAGGCAAAGGAGATGGCTCTTTTGATGACATTTCTAGTCTGACTATATTTGCAGACTACAGAATTCCTCAAGTTCTTGTTCACTTGAAAGCAATGAAGTATTCTGAAGAATTAATGAAGAAACTACGTGAAGGTTTGTTCCTCCCTTATTAATATCAAGTCATCTTGCCTCTCGACATTGTAGACGTAAGGGTTATCTGTGGGGTTTTTTGCTCCAGGGAACAAAGGCTTCTTATGTAGTGATGAGGTAATAGGAAGGAACTTGTTCTCTAACAATGATCTTGAATGAGATCTTAAGGTTATGTTTTTATAAAGACCTAACTGTTCCTTGGATTAAACATTGATAAGGGAAGGATTAGAGTCTCTAGGCCAGTTGATCTCTGAGTTTCTGAAGGGCTGCTGTTGCCAAAAACACTTTTCAGCATGAGTCTAGTGGTGATTTTTGAGGTTTAGATAAAAGAAGCAATGATTTCTTCATTAGTTCAAAGATGATGTAAAAGCATGGGGATTCCTCTTCGTCTGTACTGAACTGCTAGTGGCAAGCAAGGTAATATTATAAGCAGCCATTAAAAAAAAAAAGATTGCCTTAAATGAAGTTAATTGCGTAAGACTAGAGTCTCATTTTTAAGCATGGTTCCATCTTCCAGTACTTACTAAATATGAACTTCAGTGAATAAAAACATAAACCAGTCCCTCTTCTACTCTAAAATGACTGTATTTAGAGGTAGGACTGCTATTATGCTATTTTAAAATTACACAGCAAGATAAACAGATCAATGCAGTCATCCATGGATCTTAGTAGAATGGCCATATATATATTTAGAGAGAGAGATGCAGGCAT